TCTGTGACAGATGGACCCCGGGTCCAGGTGTGCGTGTCTGGGCAAGAGTTGCCAGGGGCGGCGGGGTGTCCGGGGATTGAGAGTGTGCGCGAGTGATGTGCGAGGGGGGCGGGGGTGGCTACGATGAAAACGCAGCGTCACGTCGCCTGTGGAATTTGTATGGAAGGCCTGGCCAGATGAGGTGAACAGTGCGTATGCTCATGATACGCACCGCCGCGGTCTGATCGTCGCTTCACAGATGCGTTGGTATCTGTGAGGAAGCGGGGAGAGACGCGGAGAGGCAGACGGAGAGCGCTGTACCAGTGTGCAGCACGAACCGACGCCGATCAAACTGCCACCTGCCACCTACCAAAAAGTCCGAGCTCGAAGAAAGTCCAAAGCGTCCTGAGCGACGCGCTGTCCGGTAGAATTGAGTTCCGCAATGCAGTCCTCTAGGATGAAAGACAGCAGACAAAGCTCCTAAGCATCAACAGCACGTTCCACGATTTACAGAGGGGTCGCCACTCGATGGATGCTTGGTATTTATTGGGATCGGGCGGATCGTTGGCTGGGTGTTCGACCACGTTCTAGCGTTTTCGAGTGGTGAAGCTTAGTTTGGGGGCGTCGTCGGTGCGCCTTTTAAAGCGCTGCAGTCGGCCGTACTGACTTGTGCTTGGCGCCTGAGGACGCGTATGGATGCGCGCTGATCCACGTCGGTCCGCAACGAGCTGGGCAAGCGTTCGGGTGAAGCAGAGGAACGCGCTCGCTCGACGATTACGGATCGATGATCAGTCGTTGGGCGGGGTATCGGTGGGCCGCAAATCGAGCCAGGGCGGGGGTTGTCCTAAGTTGGGTCAAGAAATTCAGGTGTGAAGGGTTCCATCCGTCTTCTTGTCGCGATGGCAGCGCAGCCAGTCATTATATGTAAACAAACTTTTGCGGTTTGCCACTCAGCGCGACACAGGACCATGCGAGGCCGTGGATGCATCCCACTGCGGCCGGTAGGATCGATAACGACTCGTAAGGGTCCACTTCCACTTCTCGGCCTGGTAAACCCTCGCCTCGGGGTGGGAAACTGAAAACTGACCCCGGCAGTTATCTAATCAGGCACCGGGCATGAATCTTCCGGCATACCTCACCACCCTCGATTCGCTCCAACCAGCGTTCCCCGGTCTCCACAAATCGCTCATCCCACCGTCCGCACCATCCGCGCCGCCTGCACGGCCGTCTGGACATCCGCTAGGAATCATCCAACCGGTCACTATACCCACCAATCCCTGCCCTCCTCAGGTCGCCGTGAGATCGAACGTTGGCGGCCCCTCACTGAGGCACGCAGCAGACCCTCCCGTGTCTTGGCGAGCTTCAATCAGCCGGATTCCACCTCCATAGGTCCGCACCGAAATGGTACGGAATGGCGTGAGGTCGCATGCTTAATCCAGTCGGAGCTCACACTCTACTGCGACGGCTGTGGAGAGGACCCTGGGCGTGTTCTGGGCACACGACAACCTTATTGATCCCCTGATCGATGGGCCCATGAGCCCACAACCCATTAGTCACATCTCACTGGTACCTCGGGGGTGGGACCCGTCAGAAGGCTTGGAACGTTCGGCTGGCGACCCAAAATATCTCTCCTGCCGCCGGCACGGGCCCTGAGCTTGTCTTGGCCTCCTGCTTCAACCCCTCAAGCCCGTCTGACCCTCCGCTCG